TGTAACCTGACTATATGACCTCCACAAAACTACTTATAATTCTTAAATATAAGCATGTAGGTATATGCAAGTCAGAGGTCTAAGCTCTGAAAATACCCATGTCATATAAGTCTTGTCAGCAAATAATATTTATTAACTAATACAAGCCAACATACTTCATATGCCTACCTTTTCCCCTCAAGCATACCAAATTCTAGTGTATGGCACAATATAAAACAGATTTTCTTCTCCCAGATGATAGTCTAATTTATATTTTTTAGTTTCCTTCAAAATGACTACCTAAGCATAGCCAGGTCAGATCAAAGGTCCACCGAACTACACAATCTTGGAGAGTGGCTGCTAACTTATGCAGAAACATCAGGGTCAGTAAAGAGCAATTTTTCTTTCCTCTCACATACCTCCAGCCTACTCCAAAACATGTAGGCAGCAAAAAACAACCCTTCTCAATTTTAACGCTATGTAACAGATGCCTGAAAACAACCTATGCATAAGATAAATTATTACCATTAATTATTTCTAGCAATATGAGGACAGTCTTCCAAAGATAAAGACACAACAGGCCCAACTACAAAGAGGCCAACATCTAACAGCCAGAGGAACCTGCAGAAAGACAATGGGAAGAAGAGGGAGTGTTTGTTTCACTCTGGCAGGAATAAATACGAGATAACTAAGAATGCCATGGGACAAGGTAAGGGAGACCTCAAGACACAACAGGAGTGCTAACTTCTCCAGAGAATCACAAGCTAGGCCTAGGAGTGGGGTGGCAAAGTGAGAATTGGGGAGAGGGTGGAAGGGGGGTGGAGGTCAGGGGTGTGGAATCGAAAGAAACTTCCACAGAAGATGCCTTGCCAGACTGTCAACATGGGGAAAAGCAACAAGACTACTGGACTGATTGAAAAACAAAAGGAAAATCACTCCCCAAACCAAAAGAAAAACCCAGAAAACAGAATACTAACCCCAGCTATGATAAGGAACTACATCGCTCTCAATAAATTCTAACCTATAAACCTCTTCATTTCACAAAGACAAGTTTTTACACTGCCTTAATTAAACCTTTGTTAAAAATGTCTATGCTGAAACTAATTTATCACTCCTTTTCCTTTAGAAGGTTTCAGAAACTTCCCTTTTTTTTTTTTCCTGGTACTTTTGTATCTTTAGTGTCTGATTAAAGGTGCTTTTTACAGATTTTATGAAGTAGCGTTGCTTACACTGATATCTATAGGTAAAATAAAATACTGCACTATAAATGTTTTCCTTTTTCCTACAGACTTGTCATACGCTTTACCAAACTGTATGGTTGTTGGTACAAAGCTATACCTGAACTTGTCATCGTGCATTATTTCTTTTATTTAAAAAAAATCTAGCAGGTGAGACAGCTTTGCAGAAACAATGCAAAGTCCCCATCTCTATCTCAAGAGATAACATCTGCCAACTTTCACATTCAAATCGACTCTGAAGTTCCTTCAATGATCTAAGGCAGGACTGCCACAGAAAGAAGTTGCTTTTTCCTGTATGCCAGCACAAGCATTTGTGAGCTCTCACAATATATCAGGCAAGAAAATGATTCAGGTTTGGTTTTTCTCCCCTCCTAAACAAAATGCTCGTAGAGAGGGTACAGGACAGAGGTTGGGACGAGCAGCAGAGAGAGACACTTCTTCCAGTGGCAGTTCTGGCTTTGCCTAGAAGGCTGTTTTAAGATAGTCTTTGAGAAACCCTACGCGTTTTGGATTGATGAAGCTATTTCTGTATATCTGACAATCAAGTACATTATATATAACCTTGTCATCATTATGAATAATATTAATAGTAATGACAACAAAATATTCCTTTGTGACCAAAGAAAGTTATACCTGAGATTTAATATTTACTGACAATATACAAGTGTAGTTTGACAAGGTAGTAAAATACAGTCAGTTTTGATAAAAATTCAATAATCGGAGAGAAGCTTTGCAGCAAAGCAGATGCCGAGCTTCTAAAACTTCTTTCAACCTTCAACTATCTTATGGGAAGAAATATAATACTGCTAGTACAATTGTTCTCAGCTTGCATTTAGTTGCTGGCTCAATTTTGGAACTGGAGGACAACTACTTGGGTGCCCTAGGATTGTTCGTTGTTTTCCTCTTCTATCACTCGGTTAAATAAGTTATCACTTCTCTCCACAAGCCTTACTAAATTGACAAGCATTTGACTTACAGCCCTGAAACCAATCACCACATAACTTGAACAGTTGCACTGTAAAGAGGAACACTAGCCAAAAAAAAAAAAAAAAAAATCCTAATTTTGCAGTCAAAGTACAGTAAGCCTCCGATCTCTGCTACATGTTAGCTGTCTAGATTGGTTGAACTTAATTGGATCTATTAAATGGTCACTTGTCCCCAGCCATAGCACACTACAGTTAAAATCACTTCTTTAATAGCTGAAATTCTACATCACATACTGTCCCACTCCAAGAAGGCATCGATTCGTCAATGTAATCTAACACACCAGAAACCGCCTTTAACTCCATTAAGCACTTGAACTGGTGTTTCATTCATCATACATATGCAATCCAGAGGCTTATCCTTTCTACATCCCTCAGAAGGTACGTGTTGATTTTAAAATTCTCAATACTTCCATTTTCAGGACAGTGCTAATGTTATCATACAGACATATCAAAACACTGTAAATGAATCTGGTCTACATTTTATTACCCACAACCCCAAGCAGAAGGAGGGAAAGGATAGAAAAACATTCTTTTTAAAAGTCCTTGGCAGAAAAGCTGCTGCTCAGGCACTCTGGGACAGGTGCCCAGAACGTCTCAAGTTCCAATAATAAGAAAAGCCTTCATTACAAGAAGGGGTCTGGACACAAAAATACAGATTGATATCAGAAGTTGCTAATAAGGACACAAACTTGTAACCAATTGAATTGACTATTACTTCAATAAGATAAAAGAATGAAAATTTGCAGGAACCGACCCAGAGCCTGAGGGCCAAAACACCAAGTTACATACTCATCTTCTGTAAGAGACACACAGAGCGTCTTTAGATCACGCATGGCCAAGGCAGCAAAACCCCTAGTTGCAAGGATTGATTCACACTTGAATTTGTCCATTCTGCTAAAGCTGGCTTTTAATATTAAGTCATATTTAAAGTTGTAGAAAGTTATATTTTAATGGAACAAAACTTTTTCAAGCATTTCCATCCCAAGCACTGCATCATCATAATATTCCACATGGCAAACCAAATTTGTTTTTATAAATCAAGATGATATAAAGATTTTTGGATTGAATAAAAATAATTATATATTACATCTACACAAAAAAATAAGGAAAAAATAGTGGTTGGTTTAGTTCTAAAGTGTACAGTCCTTCCGATTTTCTTGATGCTTCAGTAAAGGCAGTATCAGATCAAAAAAAATTCCTCAAACTCAGATAAAGCAGTACCAGTAAGATAAGAAAAATCTTCCTCTGTTGTTTCAGTCATGGTAGGTCCACGAGCAAAGTATTGTTCCCATTTAAAGTTAGTCTACAGTCTTGAGGTCATCGAAATTCCTTAACAGTAGTTCATAAAAACATGTCAGAAAAAAAAATCTGCTCTTAGCCTGAAAATTATGTCCAACACACACATGTGACTTCAGCAAAACATACATGCATGACTTCGAAATTCTATTATTCCTATTATCTATGAATGGCAAGCTCACCATTGCAAGTTCTCCAACTGGGACAAACTAACATACCCATTTCAACGAGCGACTCAAAACTGCACTCCTCCCCATTCCACGTACACTTTAATTCAAGGCCTCTGCCCAAACCATCAAAACTCTAGGATTTTCTCCTGTAACTGGCAATACTCCACTGGAGTTTTGAAAATCCTAGGCTGGACTTGTCCATTCAATAATTTTCAAAACTGTAATTGGACAGCAAGGCCAAAAGAAACATTTTCAAAGAAACAACTGATATGTGCCTTTCTGCTTTGAAAGCAAAGCACAAAGCCTATGTTCTCTTCATGTTTATATGCAAGACATTTTCGATGTACTAACTGGCTAGCCAAACCCACGATTTCTATTTTTCAGTCTTTTTGAGGACACTGTTATGAGGGGAAACAGCTCATCAGATGGGAGAATATTTCCGATCTCTAAAAAATTATTACTACTTCTCCACCCTGGGAGTAGGGCCAAATCCCAGGTTAGCAACTTTCTGGTGCAAAGACCATGGCGTTAACAAATGAGTTGTGCCAATATTTGATCAATGCTCAACTTTGTTTTCAGCATAGAGTTAAGAAATAATACTACTGTATCACAGTAGTATTTCATGTTTCCACTGGAGAAAGGTATGAAAAAACCCAAACAGATAAGTCTAACAGTCCCCCAGGATGCTGTCAAGCAAGCAGAGAAGATGCTTTTTTAACAGACTCTTTAGCTTATGAAAATTCAGCAACTTTTCCATGCACCAGTTACACTGAATAGGCAAGAAACAGTACATATTGTATCAAACTGCAAAATCTGAGGCAGGTTTTACATATGAAACAATTTCAAAATTCCATCTACAAACTCCAGAAATTCCTTTTCGCCATCTGTGAACAGTGCTATCTTTTCAGTCGAGAAGACTCTTAACTAGATCTACTTGTTTCCCCTACTCGACTATGCTTGCTCAAAGTATCGGAACCCACGAAAACTTTCTAGCTTACCAACAAAAAATTTAGGTAACATATCCTGCAATTATTAGTTATTACTCCATTTCAGACCTCTCCCCAAAATCATGCAGGTATTTCACATACAAATTAGCAGTTCAGCTCTGGCTTTGAGAGAACTTGCAAGAGTACAGTCACAAATTACATAAATCACTCCTCTTTTAAGGAAAAGCAAGGAAGTGGTATTCTCATAAAGGTCTGCAGGCAAGAAGGATACATTTCAACTATGACAAGGAAACAGTTCTGTGACAGTTCTCCTTTCCCATGATGAAGCGTTTACCTTAAGAAGCAAAAGTTCCAGGGAAGGGGATGGTGATCAAGATTGCTCACCTTTAACCGTTTAACCACCTCATCGTTGGTAATTTTGTCGGTAATCTCCTTCACTCCAGGAGGGTAATAGATGACTTTACCATCGGCAGCAGGTTTTGGTTGGGCAGCAGGGAAGTCCATCCTGGTGCTGCTGGTAATAAACTTTCCTTCTCCACAGTCCTCTACCGGCCTCTATCGGTCAGAAAACAAAAGTTCAGCAGAATGCAAACGACTTTCTAACCCTCTTTTTCCATTTCTCACCCTCAATTCGCAGAAGGCCCCGGTTATTACCCCGCCGGCTG